AATTTGTTGTACTTACCGAAAGTTCCACCCGTTGTCTCTCAGATGAATAAGATAGATATGTAATAATGATTTGTTTGTGAAAAGAACACTAAGTGGTGCTATCTCACTTACATCAAACAAAGGTACCAAAATGGTTCTATTTTTCGTAAAGCTTGAGGTTATAAAACATGAAAGAAACCATGACATGGCTTCAGAGTTTCTATGGTCATTAACATATTGTGCATGCAGAACAACAGTGAATTTGGATGTTAGGCAACATATAACCCATCCAATCACAGGATATACAAGGTATGATGTTGGTATTTGTAGGTAATTTAGAAAATGAGCCTTCAACTTCACTGATCCACCAACTTGTCACTTTTAGAGATTAGTGATGGCAACTAATTTTCATAAGAGGCAAATATATTGACTTTACATTGGTGAAAAGAATTACAAGGTGCAAGCAATTCTATTTTGGACACCTTGTACCCAGCTGTGTACACTTTTCGTTGGAATCGACCATATACACGTGCCTTGCGAACTTTGCTTTACAGAAAAAAGAATTAATAGGACAATGGACGTTCTTCATCATTTCAATGAATACGGAGAATGAATCAGCAAATATTTAAGTATGATTTCAAAAATAGACAACACCAAATATCGTTTCGTCGCGACGGTGTATTGAAATTCTTCGAAAAATTTAAGTATCTTTGTCTCTCAGAAAATACATCTTATAACATGGTACTTGAGGTGTTACGTGTGTCGTCGGTCGAAATGTGTGTGTGTGTGTGTGTGTGTGTGTGTGTGTGCGTGTGTGTGTGTGTGTGTGTGTGTGTGTGTGTGTGTGCGTGCGTGTGCGTGCATGTATGTGCTGTCTTGTGATATTGTGACTCTTTGAACCATTCGTTCGTTTATGCATGAAATGACATGTAGCAGGTCAATAGCATTATTTATCCATGCTGGATCCCAATGGCATCATGAAATAAAATCCCACAGAAGCTATTAGTGAGATGATCCGTGAAGATCCGGGTTACAATTGATCTTCAGTAACCCATGATTGTCGCGAGAGGCGACTAACGGGATCGGGTGGTCAGGTTCGCTGACTTGGTTGACACATGTCATCGCATCAATTGCGTAGTTCGATCATGATGATGATATGGATTGTCTGGTCAGACTCAATTATTTACAAACCGCCGCCATATAGCGATGGAATATTGCTGAGTGCGGCGTAAAACTAACACACTCACTCACTCACTATTAGTGAGATGATCAGCGTCAGCGGTTGTCGTGGAAATTATGTTCCACATCACGGAACACTCGCTTATATTCTCAAGCACGACGTTCTCAGCACCAATGACTGTGTGTTGTGAGCAAAATGACATTGTTTATATGCCTGTGAATTGGGTCACTTCAGACATCTCTTCACCATTAAACTGCCGTGGCTTAACTGGGAAATCTCAAAACTAACGCAATGTAAGTTGTAAATAGCATGTCCTTCACCAACACACCCATTGGGACATAAGCTAGTGGTAAGAGTCAACTACATGACTAAGGATCACTGGATCGTCTGGTCCAGAATCGATTATTTAAACGCCGTAGTCAGTCAGCTGGAATATTGCTGAGTGCGGCGAAACACACAAACAAACAAACAAACACAACAAACAAACACAACAAACAAAACAACAAACACAACAAACAACACTACTGCATAGGGAAACATCCCCTGTATTAAATCACAATAAAAACATGGAGGAAACTGCAATCTGTTTTATTATATATTTATAACTATTTCCTTCCAATACAGGACAAATAAATAACTATCATGTTGATAAATGTCTGTCCATAAGTGTGTAGTCAGTCACTACTTCGTCATCAGTCACTCAATATGGCGGTTCATGAGGAAAACACGATTTAGCTTTCTTATTGTGACGTGGCTCACGAATGGCACACACTTCTTAAATATGCCCATCTAACCTTCTCGACATCAATGTTATATTTTGTTTCTTATTGACATGACTTCCAACATTACCCGTGCCACATACCAGTGTGTATTATATCCCTGCTGTATATTTCCATATTGTACCATATAGAACCGCCACTATGTGTAGCCACGTCCGATATAAATACACTCTCTCAAAAAAGAAACGCAACCCCTATCTAAATATCCGACATCATTTCTAGAATAAAGATGGTGAATGTAAATTAGAATTTTCTTCAAAATACTGTTAATACGTTCCCATCTGATCAGTATAAACTCCCAAACGGAACCATTGTCACACATGATGACCTTTGTATCCGTGTTATTTGAGAAAGTGCGAAATTGTCATGTACAAAATGCTAAAAGCCTGTTGCACGTGCAAATCGTTGAAAACACAGTTCATGTAGAGGGTTTTAAAAGCACGCGTAGTTTGTAATTTTTCTCTCATAATTTGCTCTGCAAATCAAGTTCGAAAATGCCCCGTTTGAGTACAGCAAATCGAAATATTGCCATTGGTCGCATTGAGGCCGGGAAAGCTTTGGAACAGTTGCCCGTCATCTAAACGTACACAAAACAACAATCTCACGACTTTGGAATCGTTACACACAGTTCCATGCAATTGAAGATCGTCCCAGGGCGGTAGACCTAGGATCACCACACCGGCTCAGGATCGCTTTATTCGACTCAGCCACCTACGTAATCGGCATGCCACACCCACCATCACTGCAACACAGGTGCCAGGTTTGAGGAGAGTATCGGCCCAAACCATCAGGAACCGTTTACATGAGGCAAATTTACGTGCAAGAAGACCAGTTGTTGGGCCCGTCTTGAAACGCCAACATCGACGCCAACGTCTCAGGTGGTGTACTAACGTAAGGAGATGGACCCTAAGAAACTGGAGAAGAGTCTGGTTTAGTGACGAGTCTCGTTTTCTTCTTCAACGACGTGACGGTAGACAACGTGTCTATAGACGAGCAAATGAACGTTTTGCACCGAACTGCGTTCGACAGGTCGACAGATTTGGAGGAGGAAGCATCATGGTATGGGGAGCCATGTCTTACAACCAACTGTCAGACTTGGTCATCATTCGTGGCAATTTGACGGCACAACGGTACATTGATGACGTCTTACAGCCACATCTTCTGCCGATAATCGACCAACAGAGGGAGTTGTTTCAACATGACAATGCCCGCCCTCATACAGCTCGTGCAACAGTGGCATTCCTACAGAATTCAAACGTCAACGTGATGCCGTGGCCCTCAGATCGCCAGACATCAATCCTATCGAACATCTGTGGGACCAGCTGGATCGTCGTGTTCGTGCACGTACACCACAACCACACACGTTGATTGAACTGGCCGCAGCACTCCAGGAAGAGTGGAGAGCAATCCCCAGGAAAACATCCGCCGTCTGATTCGTTCTGTTCGAGGAGGTGCACTGCTGTGATTAGAGCTCGTGGCTCTACAACGAGATACTGAAGACAACGCCCTAGCGTAAATTGAGAGTTCGATACTGACCTGCATTAACTGTTACCTTATACCGTGCTGACCTAAGGTTCACCATGTCAAATTTCATGGCATTATCTTTAAAAATACAAATGTAATAACCAGTTAAAATTGATATAAACATTACCCAAAAACAGGGGTTGCGTTTCTTTTTTTTTGAGAGAGTGTACTATCCAGGTAAATGAGATGCGCCTTGTCTTAAGACACATGACTATATGATTTGCCATGTCAAATGTTCGGAGAGTTCATTGGCAGATATTGTGATTGTTGCTTGAGACAGTAGAAACTCCTCCGCACGACGTAAATAGACATAAACAGTTTTCTTTTCGTTTCAAAATATCCACCTTCATCCATTGACACCCGACCAACCACTTTTCCCGGAACACGAAACAAATATTTCCCCAACAAAATGTAACAATTATATGAAATATACTGTTCTTTGACATAATATTTCTTTTATTTGATAACAAAGAAGAAACTTTGGTCCTTTTGTAGGCCTGAAGTTTACTCTTTTACGTCTTTATGTCACAGTAAAATGGAATACTTGTTGTAGCAAATGTATTCCAATGTTTCTGAAGAAAGCTCTGTCTGACTGTGTCATGTATAGTTTCCCTTCCGTCATATCACACTTTCCGATAGCAGGTATGTCGTTTATAGTTTCCCCTCAATCATACTTTCTGATAACAGATTGTAAAGATATTGAACGAAGAATAACGTTCTTTGTGAATATTATGGGTAGCCAATGAGCGTCGGATCGTACGCTGAAGTTAATCCCCACATGGGCACAATGTGTGAAACAGGTGACGTGGTTCTGGTGTAAAACCAAACTCAATCACTCACTCTTTGTAAATATAAAACAACAAAGGTATGAGTCCATTACACGCACAATGAAAGGTATATATAACAGACGTCCGTTGAGATCAACGTGTGTCATCTGGGTATCAGCAGTCACAGTACATTGTCTGGTCCACATTTACATAACAATGTTACATCGTCGATCATTGCAGAGTGATGCAAACTTGCCAGACGCTGGAAAACAATATTACCTGGTCAGAACTAGGAGACCAAGTAAAGTAGTCAACCACAAGAGAACAATTTGGTCAATCATTGGAGTACAATGCAATGTGGCCAATCATAGCAGAACAATGGTCAGTCATAGAAGAACAATTTTATCTGGTCAGTCATAGAAGAACAATTTTATCTGGTCAGTCATAGAAGAACAATTTTATCTGGTCGGTCATAGAAGACTAAAGAAGTGTGATTAATCTGGTCAATACAAAACAATTCTGGAAAATCATTTCCGAACATGTTATCCAGTCAACCCCTGAAAAACAATACAATCAGTGAGTCGGCGTCATTGTTTACTTCTTGCAGTCAGCTTGCAGTGGGCAGAGTTCCCAGCGGTTGCGTTTATCAACCTATGGCAGTGAATCATCAATTGCACCACAATGCTATGAACATACCGGTACACAGTCTTGTAATGGTGAACATATGCCCCCAGTGGAACATTATCTTTTTCCAACGGTTCTACCAGCCTGCTAGTTTGGTTTATCCAGTGTGGTAGAAGATGGTAGATGTCCTAGCGGATGTCCTACAGCTGGTAGATACAGCCCGCCGAGAGGTGGACGTGGCGTGCCAAGTACCCCCATGTTGTGTCGGAGGTAGGCAGACTCGAGACTAGACACCACGCTGGCAGCCTGGGGGTAGAGCTGAGACCAGTAGGGGTTGGTCTGTATGATGCGTTGAACTGCAGCATAGTTGGTGGCCTCTGCTAGTAGTTCTATTCCAACAGCTGTCTGTCGCTTCCATTTTGTTCTGAAACACAATATATAACAATGAGCTGATAAATAATATCATCGAGTCATTTGCAATTCTCTTGCCAGCACTTGTTGAAATGGGGTGAAATAGTATCCAATGTATTTATTTAGTATCATAATTTGCATGGATCAATTACAGAGTGCCGTGTGTGTGTGTGTGTGTGTGTGTGTGTGTGTGTGTGTGCGTGTGTGTGTGTGTGTCCGTGTGCGTCGACTAATGCTCAAGTAAATATATAGGTTTCATGAGATACAGCTATTTAACATGTTTAGTGCGCCACGAGTCGACCAGACCGAGGCGAGTTGTTTTATGAGCGCCAGGGCAACAACAAGTACCATCTTTCAAAGTCTTTTTACCTAACCAGCGACATTCAGCTCTCCCGACACGCGATCCGGATATCGTGGTCACCATCAGTAGAACATATAACAACCTTATATAAACAACACAGGACTTATGATTAGAAGTGTGACACACAGATATCACAGCGAAGTTCATATGTGAGTCAGAAAATGTTATTTACACCTGGGAGGCAGGATAGGGTTGCCCAGGCTTAGATGTGTGAAAGGTTGGCCTTGGGCTAGAAATGTAATACTTTCAATCCCTGGACATGTTTCTTTGTTTGCCAACGTCAGCCCCACCTTGCTAGTTGTGGTTTCATTTATTAAAACGTGAGTAAATATTTTAATCAAACAACAATTAGATAAATTAGATACTTATTACGAACCTGATTGCTTATAGGAAGCTATTGGTATAACTACCTTTTACACAAAGCACTTGATCGAATATTCATAATGTATAATATCCATTAATATAATTCCAAAACTAATGATATTTTAGAGATCTTTCTCCTTAAGAATGTAGAATGATAGATGAAATTATATTGAATAAACCTCAAGGGACACAAAACCAGCAATCACTGAACCCAGGAGCATAATGATTGGTTGATTGACAAATATAATAGTAGAATAACTTCACATCTGTTCAATTTAATACAATCACTGTAGGTAGCACATTTTGTGCCAGTGCGTGCAATCGACTACGCATGACAAGGCATAAGCTGTGAACTGAAACTTCTATATTCCGTACAACTATTTCAATGTTTTAATGATATCCAATAGTGTAGCATAAATAACACAATGGCTCCCAGTAGCAATGTGCCCAAATGCAAGTTGTTTCATTTCATGATGAAATATGTCGATTTTCCCAACAATAATTTCATGTTAGTTGCAGATAAAAACACGATAATATGCAATAAATATGTAAATAGGATACATTGCTGATAAGTAGGATATTCAAGTGAAATACTTGCGATCATTTTTGGCATTCAAACAATATAAGCTGTATTGATGACTGAACAAAGGTTATGTGACATTCAGACCCTCGCTGGCGCTTAAAGGAAATCGCTCCTAACGTATTATTGTAATAAAGCAATCCGGTCTCACAATGTCAGTCGATATTTGCTATATTACTGTGTAAGCTCAATGTTGTACCGTCATATATTATTTAGGGTCATTTTAAAGACATGGTAAATGTATAGCAGTCGTTAGTGACCATATATGTAAATGTCGTCAATAAATATTAATATTTTCTGTATGTTTATATGATTTTTTTTTCACGTATTTGTATAACATATAATTTATCAGTATATGCTCTCTCAAATAGTTTTACACTTTTAAATCAAGGAAATCGTGTAGCTATTACCGACAAAACAATTAAAATTTCAAATAACAAATATTCATACTTAATCGAAATATCTATTCATAACATAAAACTGTCTGACATAAATATACCCAGGTTAACACAATAGTCCACACATACTGCCATAATAGGAACGAACATACTGAACGAATTCAGCACACGCATCGAGGCCTCACACACACAAACAAAAACAACAAAACGCCTTAGATATTGACACGCATTGCGGCTTACTTGTTAAAGAGTGTCAGTTAAAATCTCAGTTAAAATCATAAGTTAGCATAAGTTCATATAAGTTACATATAAGTTCATATAAGTTACATCATTTAGTTACAGAAATAGTGGGTAACTGGAAGACCATATGTGTATCTGGACAGTATGATAAAAAAGACAATAATTGTTCTAAGGATCCTAAACTGAAATGGATATTTTCAATCTCAATGAAAGGAAACGGGGCAAACTATCTGGGGGTGGGGTGACATTCATGGAGATGCGGAGTATGGATCACATGTATATTTGATCACATGTATATTTCTTCTTGACAAACTTCAATCATAACAGCAACACAAACATGTTTTGAGTTCCCTCTGGCACCCTTGAAAAACAAGTCATTACTGTCCCTCCTTTGTTCACTCTGTTTGCCTGTATCGTCCAGATGGGTTGCTCTACAGTGTGGGCATATAATGTTTGCACCCTTCTGAAAACTCTAGTGTTGGTATGATGCTAACGCACACAGATAGGGGAACCCACTAGTACCATTCTCTTTTACTTGACTGTACTTTCGCATTTGAGAATGTTGAAAATGAGCAAAGAAGGTATTTTAATTTGTTTCACTCCATTTCACTTTGTGGAAAGAATATATTCAAACCACACGATCAGACTCTTCTTCGTAGAAGCATCACCTTCCTCTGTATTCTTCTCTGGCTTTACACACACAAACATCGTATTTCCAAGGACTGGAACGGACAAAGCATGACCTGGGACCCTACCCACAAAGCGTTCATAGCACGACACCATTCGTAAACCCATGATAGATTATAGACTTCTGAAAACGCTACTAACAGTGTCCTAGGGTCCCTGGACCTCTTGTTGCACAGGCTATTCATGATTTTAAGTACGTTGAACTGTTAGTATTTAGATATGAATGGGGTGAATATTGTAATCTTCTTGTAATTTATGTTATAAGTTATATATGAATTAGAATTAATTTGATGTTTCCATGTGTTAACACAATAAATGTTTAGGTAGGGATAAGGAGCCGCTTCAAAGTTTCAATGTCAGATACAAAAGCTGATTCCTTAAGTATTTTTAAGCCCCCTTCGGTCAAGAAAGACTGAAAATGTTGGATTCCAGGTGATTGTTTTCGTCAAATCAGGAGTTTAGTTGGAACTATCGTCAGATCTTTTACCAAACGTTCAAAATCATTTGAAGAGTTTTTACACATATAATCTGCCATTCTAATAGTCTCTGGTGAGACTTACTAACGATAAAACCTAATGAAAAGGATTATGTCAGATCATATAAGGAAGTGTTTTTGAAAATGAGAAAGTACTAGACCTATGCCGTATATACATCTGGTGAACATCTCAATTTTGGTAAAGAACCTGCTCATTCTTAAATGCAATCTCTAACTTCCGACAACTCTACTTCCCATTTAGCAATATTTAAGTATTAGGTCATATCAGAAGTTTTACAAACACACAGGCTAGTTATCGGACATCTGAACGAATTTTTTTTCATAACAATATTTCAAAAGGTGTGTTTTTAACTGGAGTAGTGTTATACCAGGACAACCGATAAAACTACTCAGAGATCTAGTCTGGGAAACCAGGGGTGGATACACTGAGCACCCGTGTCCTACGCCGCCAGGAAACTGTTTTGGGCAATCAATCAGTTCATTGAACTTGTCCCATCAAATCCAATTGATTACTTTACAAAAAGCAAAAGAGGGCTGGAGACCGATTGTAACCCCCCAAACCCTACTAGCAATTTGTAGTGAGTAAGTGAGTTTAGTTTTACGCCGCACTCAGCAATATTCCAGCTATATGGCGGCGGTCCGTAAATAGTCGAGTCTAGACCAGATAATCTAGTGATCAACAGCATGAGCATCGGTCTGCACAATTGGGAACCGATGACATGTGTCCACCAAGGCAGCGAGCCCGATCCCGTTAGTCGCCTCTTACGCCAAACATGGGTTACTGAAGATCAATTCTAACCCGGACCTTCACATGGAAGCAATTTGTAGAGCTATGAAGTATATGCGTACTTAGTTACAATATCAGTTGTCACATCTGCCTCCCACAATTCTAAAACTAAAAGCGACAAGCCTCTTTCCATAATCATAAAATAAATCTGTGCTGAACATTGGATCCGTTCTATGGTTCCGACTGTTTATGAATCACTATCAAGTAGTGACAATACAGGTGTTTGCGGGAAGGTGAGGTAATCCTACCCAACCGGTGGCACCCGTGAGTCTACAACGTATTAGTACCAACATCATAAAGTGTGACCACACTTAGAAAATAATAGATATGCGGAGAATTAAACTTATATCTAAAATACTTATATCTCCTGAAAGTGATTATTATTTATTTTGAGTTATCGAAGCAAGCACCTGACCCCACGGGTGAACCTATTCTAACCGGGTCTGCGAGTAGTTGAGTAATAATAATCTGATCAACAACAAAATAATAATAATGATAACAAGCAAGTATGTCCATGTGTTGGCTCACCTTCTGTTCTGGTACCATGTTTTGACCTGCGTGTCCGTCAGTCCGAGTTTCGTGGCCAGCTCCATCCTGTCCTGGACACTGAGGTATTTCTGGCGGTCGAAGCTCTTCTCTAAACACCGCAGTTGGTGCTCGGTAAATGCTGTGCGGGCCTTTCGGGGCTTTTTGGACTTGTAAAGCATTATAGGAGAACCATTAGCATCTTTATCTCCGTCGTCTGTAAACAAAGAATGATAACCTTGTTCTAAATAATATGTATATAATGTATTTGACCATTTGAAACATGGGACACTTTTTTATTGCTTTATATACAGTATATTTCCGTTGTTTATCTGATATTACAACTAAATGAATATCACGCATCGCGCCTATATTTTATTATGTGGAAGAGAATAATAAATTCGATATTATTAATGAAATAAATTTTAAATAAGTTTGATAATTTTGACAAGATTTCAGGAGAGGCTTGCGTACAACATTTAATACAGTTTGTCTGTTATTGACGTCATAAAAGTGACAAGAACAATTTTATGATAAAGGTAATTTTATAGTCATATCCCAAAATTCATTTAGGGACAGATGGCTCACGGAATACCGGGAATTGTGTTTATATTGTTCTCATGTACTATAGTACATGTGTATAACTTTAATATCATATGGTCGTCGCAGCGTAAATATACATGGAACAAGGAGATCTATTCTGAGAAAAATTGCTGAAATGTTGATCGTCTTCTAAAATGTTACAAAACAAATAAAAAAAAATACAATCCAAATAAAAACTATAAAATTGCCATATAAATATTATTGCAATGAACTAAATCTCAATATTGATTTTAAACGTATTATATTTATATCTAAATTAATATGGTGTTTAATAAATGAAATACTTTTTTTATAATTTTCTAAACCTCGGAAAAGATGTCATATTTCACGAACTTGAAAAATACGTCATTCATAGTATTTGTTGTTTTTTTATTTTTCCTAAAGGTTCTTTCGCAATATATGTTTGTTCTGTTTATTTTCATATCACTTATCGGGGCTGTTTGGGAGCACATACATCAAAATTGTTAATAGTACAAATAATAGAAATGTAAATCCAATAAGCGGCCTTGGTCATGATTCTCATGGTATAGGCAGCAAAGATGATTAATAGCTAACAACAGAAGCTGGTATTTATATCTTCTGTCACGCTTCTCTATAACACCAACTGCAATCGTTTCAAGCCATATACAAAACCTTCGGTCTCTTTGATGTGGATTTGTAGTATATGATCTTTACACTCTCTGAGCAAAGCGAAACACCGCACAATGACCAACACAACAGGGTAATGATGGTGTCTATATGCTTGATCATGAGTAAAACGCCTGTTCTCGTTTTGCCATCGTTTAATATCAATTTGAAAAGACCTTTCCCATGGCATATTCACAGCAGAGCCTCTTAAGGACATTTTGTATACATATTAACTGTTCTGCTATTATATTAGGTTGATACACCTGAGGGTGGCAAGTATATCATTTACTGAGCTTCGTACTTAATAATCTCACAAACATGTATATTCACTGGCCTCAAGGTTACTAAGAGCACAGTTGGGTGCGTGGAATGTTGAAATCACAATAGATTTACTTGAAAACAAACCCACCGTTCCTTGACTCATAAGACGACAAATCTCCTTTTCATCTGAGCTCTGGATATTTTCAATCAACCCCGTATTTATTACTTCTACGCCCAATGATATATGGACAAAATTCCCGACATATCTTCTACTGAAAATGGTTAGAATTAAATTATGTCTTAAATGACTTAACTGTTCTACCTAATGTTGATTTATTTAACAAATATTGTTCAGTACCGTGCAATAGACAAACGGCGGGTATATTGCAAGGTTGTAAATCAAAATGGGCTATGGTGGCTTCTACTGAATTGTTCTTTTTTAAAACCAGTAATTATTACAAATGTATCTTCACAACATGCCGTCTTTAACGCATACTTAGGATAAAAACATACTGTACAACGGACTCCGCATTTGTAGAGATTTTTATCAGTATGGAAAAGTGTTTTTGTCACTTTTATAAAATATATCTTCAGCTTCAAATATAAAATATTGCGTTTGTATAACGTGACATGTTATATCATCGACGTCCTTTGGAATTACGTTGAAGATGAAGAAGTAATCAGTCAATGACTATAGACACAGAGATAAATAAGGTCGTCCATTTTAAACTGGAAAAATTATGTCGAAGAAATTATCGGACTGGGATTAACCGCAAATATCAATGGCATAATATAAATATTAATATTTTCAATTATTACATTATCGTATTAACTACAAATAGCCCTGAAATCTTTCGCAGGGAGCCACTGACATAAAACACATATGCCATAAGAACACATAGCTAATAAGATATATTTTTCTTTTGTATTGATATAGTTAATAAGTGTTGGTTAAATGCAATAGGAACATATATTATTCATCCAAGGATATATTTATAATTGTTAAATTACTAAGAAGGCCATAATTGACAAGCTTGTATACCATTGAACATCGTGTCAGACTTAATGTAATCTACTCGGGAATTTCACGTGCTTTCCATTAATACTTTTGGAGAAAACTAGAAAACGTCAACATTTCCTAAAACAATGATTCTGACCCAAACACGAAGAGATTGTGACAGGGTATTAATATTGGCTGTATACGAAAGTCCATCTCAATCGCTCGTGAAGAAAAAAATCATAAACGCAAATACATCATAAATAGAACATTTGTCTCTTTCTTTTGAAAGTAATTGATTATCACATCTCATTTTCAGCGGCAGCGTCATACACGAAAATGTCAACTATATGAGTTAAACAAGAAATGAATGACAAATATAACCATTGCTTGATCAGATAAATCACATTGAAATGATAACTGTTTAAATGTACTTCATCAAAAACACACTGCACCTGATTAAGAAGCTGAATGAAATATAGAGATTATACTATACCACATGATGTCATGATAAAAACAGGTTAATAACCTTTAAATGTTGACCCTTCATCATCCGTGTCATCTGAGTCTTCATTAGGGTATGTGCTGCTGGATATACTGTCTTTTCTGTGAGCCATTTCTGGACATGGCCGCTTAACCACTCCAGGAATATCAGCAAGAATGTCTGTGATTAGGAACGAAGGTCTTTGGTAGGATTGTGCCGTGGATACAGTTGATGATTTTTCTGTTGTTTCTACAGCACGAAGTGACTGAGGTAGGTACTGGCCCTCAAACACACTTGAGGAAGAGTCTCTTGTGCAACGCTCTCTGTTGTGGGTATATTGGTGGATGGGGAACACTGGTTTAGCTGGATAAGTGTCTTCAGATGAACAGACAGAACTAGAATCCGAATGATAGTGCCTCATGGTACCAGAATCAGTTCCAGGAATATGTTCCTCGTGGGTCTGTTTAACTGCCTTTTTTGTAGCCTTCATCAGTCTCTGGATGCACAAAGTCTGGTTTATGGTCATCTCTGCTGGAATTATGGGTGACGGGTTCGACCTCGGAATCTATGTCTGATACAGGGCTTCCTGGAACCCTTCGCTCTCCAGTAAAAGAAGCATCAGACAACGGAGTGGATGATCGTCCCGTCACTTGTGCCATTGTAACAGCTAGTAAACGCTTCCTAATCCAAATGGTGAATCCGTTTTTCGAATAAAAAATGTTGAATAGTCGCCCGGAAAAACTGACAATTCTCACACTGACATGACGGAAAAAAAATCCCAATTAAATTAATTCTAGGATCAAGACTGAAATTAAATACTTTTAAATAGTTCTTGAATTTCGAATCATCCAATGAAACAGAAACTAATTATTAAGTCAAATGAACATCACTTTACGAGAAAATGATAGCTTCATATCGTCTGCGGCGATAGCCTGTCGCGTGCCTTGCCGTCGACCGTGTGGTCCGAATAACGATGTGGCTATCACTTTTAATGGAATTTAAATCTCAAACGACTGAACCAGTCTAGGAGATGGCATTGTCGCGGGACACAAATGCTGGGACAATGGCATAACAGAGGGCTTGTAACATGTCCCTCTTGTGAGCACTCAAACATATGCTACTCGCTTCAATGATCGTCGATGGATCAGTTCTATTCTGTGCGATTACCTCCACCGTCTTTTGACTAGCAAATTGAACGGATCGTTCCTGCATGTTGATTTGAGCTTGCTAGGAGAAGGAAGGGGGTACCAGCACGGCTGAATGCTCGGTGAACGGATTTAAGACTTGTAATGCCCTGAAAGGTCCTCGCAGGGCGGGGCTAGGACCTCCTTAACTCATTGCCGCATTCACGTCTGCCGCTGATAATATTTCCCGCGCTCTCATCGTTAGGAGACGAGAAAGTTTGTAAAGAGAATGGCGTTTATATTGGATATGGTTTGGCACAGGGGACAAGAGGGCAATTATTTCATAGATATCTGTAATTACCTCCACGTTTTCATTTCTTTAGATTTGTAGAAATTTCCCGCCATTTCCATGGAGGCAGACGACAACGATGAAGAGATATTAACTGATGACTCGTTGATTGTAGACAAAAAGATCGTCGGACAATACTGGCAAAATGAGTTGATAATTGGTAGATTTGACAAGAAATTTAATAACTTACGATCAAATGGAGGCCTATTTCTGTCTGAGCTTTGGAGATTTCTATTGAATTACAGGATCTTTAATTGCCTCCCTTTGCCGTACTATCTCAAAACGAGCCCACAATTCCATGCTTGTGCACGCGCAGGTGTTCTTCTTTGTCACTCTAGTTTTAAACTCAAATGTTGGTATCTGTGTCTGAACGGTGTTAAATTAAACTTATGCAAATTAGATATGTACTCATGTCATTGAAAGTAAAGCTTAAATCTGTAATTTATTTTGCGAAATATATTTCTAGTATATATCATGACTTGTGTAAGGCATAAAAGTCTTTTCATGAACTCTGAAATGTATTACGTATTTTTCGAGGCTGTTAGTCGGATTAACTGTTCTGTACTGAAATTTTAAAATTTTGGAAACATAGATTAGTAAAATGTATTACGTGAACAGGCGGCGAGCACAGTACATGTGGTTTATGAATATGTGATAAAAGGTTATGATGTTAACACATGCATCTAAATGTCTTATTTAAGCTTATAGAATGTTAAATCTTCATCTTGTTAAACACCCCCACCTTACTATCCCAAGGTGCATGTATCACAAC